CCAAGTGCAGCCTCAACAACTTGATTCAGCGCATCTCCCTTCTCTGTGAAGCACAGAGGAGGGCTGCAGGGTTAGGTGCTGCACCCATAGATTACATAGAAGGAAAAACATGAGTGGCATATTTTGGTCCCGGGGATTGATATGCAACACTCCGAACACCGAAGTCAACTGCTAAATAATCTGGAGTCAGAAAGGGGCAGAGTGGCTGGGGAGGGGAAAAAAAAAAAGTGAAGGGGATAAGAATTAATCATCGAAAGAGTGTTATGCTTTATGTTAGTAAATCATTTTAACTAATTAATTACATCATGTCTCCAGCCAGGCTTCCGATTTGAAATCTTCAGGAATCGGTGGGCAGGGATGCAAAAGGCACTTGTTCTCTTCATCTGGAAAACATCTATGTTGCTCATTTTCCAACATTATGGGGTTTTTTCCTCTGTATTTTTCTCTCAGAATTTTTTTTTATGCCTTGGTGATGATTTTCTTCTGATCTGTTTGCTTACCAGCATAAGGGGCATAAAATAGTGTAAAGAATATTGAGATAAATGTATTATAAAAGTATTGAAGAGTATTGGTATAAATGTCAGTGTACTGTGTGCATTTTGGGATGGAGAGAGGGGTGTAAGATGGAGGATAAGTCTGTCAGCTTGCAGCAGACACGGCTGATTTGTAAATAACAAAATTGTAGGATTTATTCCTTTTGATGCACTGCACTTTTATTAAAAGAAAATCCCCTGGAAACCTCTGTAAATGGCATGAAACATATAATTAGACTTAGCTTTTTTCACCCTCTGCTTATTTAAATGCTCCGTAACTTCAGCAGTGATTCAGTAACAACAGATTTTATAGAAACATCTGACAATGAGAACAAATATTTGCAGTGTTTTCAGTCTCTGCTCTGTATTTCTCTCTGCGAGGCAGAGCTTGCCTTCCTTGTGTGAGGATCAGCGTCGCTTTCCCTGCTGCTCACACCTCCAACCAGATCCACTTTCTAAACATCTAAATAACTAAATACCAGATGTGACTTTTTACCCCTCGCTTCCTACCTCTGAAATGCCACCCTACAAATTCCTGCCTCCAAATTTCAGGCACGGACCTCCCAAAAATGAGTGCCACCAGCAGGCAGGCTTTGGCATAGGCAAAACCATCGTGGCCAGGCACAGCTGGTGGCACAAGAGCTTTCTCAGGCACTCACCTGCCCCAATGGCAGATACCCAAAGCTGTGCTGTGGTTGGATTTGTTCTCTTTTCCCTGGGCTCCACCACTCCTGCCCTTTCCCTGCTTGGTAAGGAAAGAAGTTTATACACAGAGAGCCAGCCCAGCAGAGTCATTGGTGTAGGTGAGCTACAAAGTCATCCAGGATGGGCTTTGCCGCCCTGAGCCTCAGCACCAGCCCCCACAAAGCCATCAGAACAACCAAATATTAACAAATTAATATCACACTCTTAATACGTGCTACAAGTTGGATCCACACCAGTACCTTTGCTTATGGGATGTGGCTCAGTCAAATGATGGGGCGGGAGACAGGGACATGGAGCTGCAATTCCTGACTCCTGAAGCCAAGGAGATCAACGCTCCCAGCAACCAACCCAGGCTGCCAGAATTATTCCAGAGACCCCGTTGCCTCCTCCCTAGCCCAGAATTTGGGAAATCACATCCATTTACAACCTCTTTGTCATTAAAACCATTGGCAGGTGGACCCACTGGCATGTGGACATCAAACAGTATTCCCACATTCTGCCCAGTGCCTCTTTTGGACCCATTTCCAACCTGTCAGAACAAGGGGGGAAAATACAGTCAATATAGTCGCTTCTGAACTAAAAAAAAAAATACATAAAAAAGATAAAAATAGCCATTTTTAGAGGGTTTCAGGTTGAAGGTTGCTTGTCAGAATCCAAGAAGAGAGCAGCAGTTGTTCTGACACTGCGGTTTTCACATCCTTGTCAGAGATTTGAAGCAGGATAGCTGATGTGTGTTAAAAAAGGATGGGGAGGTTTAAAATAGTTTAGATGCTGCCTGGAGCAAGTTTGAAGAGATGTAGTAAGGAGGATTGGTAGGAGTGTACGTGCACCTAAAACCATCCATGGGGAGAAACAACTTGTCCAGCTGCTGGCACCTTTAATTCAATTCTGACCTGACACCCCTCAAATGACCCAGAGACGAGTCAGGAAATTTCCCAAGAAACATTTTTAAAACATAAACTGGGGAGGGAGTGACAACATGGAGAACACTTTCATTGCAAGGGAAAAGGAAAAAAAAATCTCTCTCTGGTTTTTGACAGCTCTAATAACCCAGAGTCTAAGATTTGGGCTTGGAAAGGGGCCAGTTGGCCAAGGCTCTATCTACAGACAGGCTGGAGATGATGCTGATAGTCAGAGGGAAGCAAACAGAAGACCTGGCAAGTCCAATGCCACCCCTGACGAAGGGGATGTCTGCCAGCTCCTGGGTAAATCTGCAGTTTAGGTGAGCAGCAGTCACTGGGTTGTGCCTCTGCCTCTCCTGGAATCTGATCCAGACTGCAGCCACCCACAGAACGGCAGCAGTTTCCCAGATATTGGGCAATTCTGTACACAAGGAAACTATGCTGCAGTGGCTAATTGCTTTGGAAAATATGCTGCAGCAGCTAATTGTTTCAAATCATCTGGGATTTTCTAAATATCTCCGTAACCCTTGTGTTTCTGTAGATTTTAAAATATCCAGCTAATCTCCTGAAGTCGTGGAAAGAAAAATATGTTTTCCCCATGGTGGTGATAAGAAATAATTGGGGCAATCGATCGAGTCTGAAACTTTCAGATGGACATCAAAATGTCAACTTTGCATCCAGATCCTTTGCTGCTAATTTCACCTCCATTAACTTCATCAGGAGTCAGTGGGAAAAGCAGAGTGACACTAAGAAAGCCAGGGAAAAGGAAATTTGACCTAGTCCCAGCCAGGTAGCACAGGGGCTGCTGTGTAGCTGGAGAATTTATATTCACCATTCAGCCTAAAGCCAAACAAAAAACATCTCCATGTTAATAAATCTTCCACAGAGTTGTCCACTGGTCTCATGAAGGTTCGACAACATCTGAGGGGCATTGGATGGTGTTCTTGATGTCCCATTTCTGGAATGGTTCAAGGTTGGACAGGGCTTGGAGCACCCTGGGATAGTGGAAGGTGTCTCTGCCCATGGCAGGGGGTGGAATGGGATGAGATTTAAGGCTCCTTCCCACCCAAACCATTCTGAGTTTCTCATCAGGGGATGCCTTCACCCCAGACCTGCTGCTGGGGGACCCCAGCCCCAGAAGGGATGTCTCCCTTTACAAGGAATTGCGGGAGCATCTCAGGGATGTTGGCTTTCTCTCCTGCTTTTAGGACCAAAAAAGCAGAGGTTTAGCCCCAGTTCCCACCTTGTCCTTTTGCAAACAACTTGCTGGCATTGCCACTACCCTGATGGCCAAAGCAGAGGCAGTTTTGGCCACTGGGTTCAGAGCCTGGCCCTCCATGTGACAAGGATTGCTCAAGTTTACCACTCTTGCTTTTACAAACTCAAACCCCCCCAGGAAGAAAAGAAAAAAAAAAAAAAGGAAAAAATAATGAAAAAATGAATCTGTTATCACTGAGCATATGCAACTGCTAAACATCCTATTCAGTATAACTTCAGCCTGTTCTGAGAACTGAGTTTCACAGTTTCTTTATGCAGTATCTGTCTGTCAGATATTGCCCACTACATTACCATAGTCTATATAATATACTTCCACCAAAAAAAAAAATATATATATTTTGGGCATATTTTTTACTACCTGCTGTGAAAAGGAAAAAAATGTTACAAGCTTTTATTTTCATTTTATATTGCATATGTCCTATGTTCCTTGTATTAATGGCACTAAGGAAATTTAAACACTGAGGAATTTGTGCCTCCATTTTGATGGAATTTCTCTAATCTGCTAAATATAAATAGTACATCAATTTTAGATATTTCTAGAGCAACCATTACCTTAGTTCTTCAGTATGACATCAAGGAGCCAACAGGCTATACACAAAATATTTGGGCTCCCTGCACAATTAAAGGTGCCACTAAATAAAATTTTCCAAATCTTTAATTTCTTAATAAATCAAATTCCCACAGAAGTGAAGGCAACTCCTGGGGTGCCAGGCAGGCAGTATTGCTGTAACAATTAACCCATGGCCAGAGGCAGTGGAGCAAAGGCTCCTTCTTCCATTCCTTTATTTTAGTTTTCTACCTTTCGGGTTCTGGTTTTGTCCAGCTGCCCCTTCCTCCTTTCTGTTCCCTCTGTGGCTGAGCTGTGCTCACACCAGCCCAATGCTGAGCAGGGTTGCACAACAAGCACCATCCCTTGCACCCCTTTGTTGACCAACTTATAACTGATCTGCACTTCTGCTGCTCCTTTATCACCGCCAGCTAACGCTGCAGCGGGGTCTTGAGGGCCAAGATTTAGAAAAATTAAAATATATCAGGAAAATACTGATGTTGGCTCACTGGGAGGACACAGTTAATATTTATATTAAAAGTTCTTGATGTTTTAAACACCTCAAATTGAAACAACCTTTGATCTTCTCAGTAAGTGTCATATAAACAAGACAGGAACGCTGTGTGTCTGAGATATTTCTTTATGGTTTCCTAGCTTAACCTCACATGGGTTTAGGTATTGCAGGGGGACCTCACCACTGTATATAAGAAAATGAGGCCTAAATGTGCTCATATCCAGAGGATTCACCACCTTATTAATGCATATATGTCATGCATAGATTATTAACAGCTTCATAACTAGAGAGGAACTTGCATTTCAATAAACATACTTTTACAAGTGCAAAGAAAAAAAAGTTTTGCATTAGGATGTTACTTACTTCATGTCTTTGTCCTAGGAGAATGCAACTAAAGAAACCACATTTAAAATCAGACATTAGATATGCAAATATGTGTTCAGATCAGAGATGCGAAAATTATTCAAATGATTAATTATTCATCATAAAAATGTCAATTAATAATTCTGAAGCATAATAGGCATCTTTCTAATGCATCTTTATTTTTCAAGCCTAAATACTGTTGAATCTGTGTTCAATTGCATTCTAACAAGTTTTTAAAAATTCAACAAAGTAAACAACCAACTATAAACAAAAGTGAGCCGTGAATTTTAATCACTGCCAACTGAGCCAAGAAATGTGGCCAAACTTCAGCACTGATCCCAGAAGAGAAGGAAAAGCATCCCCATCTCATGGTGTGGGACAGTGGATGGAGGATGTTTGTGCCTCACTTCTCTCTGTCCAACAAAGAAAGAAATTTTGGGACCTGTGGATGCTGTTGCCCTGCTGCAGACACACAGGCAGACGTTGTGAATGGCAGCTGAGCAGCTCTAGGCCGTCAGAAGTGGCTTTATAAATGACAAAATTAACAAAAACATATGAGGAGATTCACTTTTAACGTTCAGGGACTCACACAAGATCAAATATTACAGTGATCTGCTGGTTAGAAATGCCCAGGGATAGATAAATTAAAGCCAGACAATCTTTCCCCTTGCTTTTGGCTCGTATCCTATCCCTACATGGGTTTTCCGCAGAGGAACTCAAAAACTTTGGGAATGTTGATTCAAAAGGTTTCTTCCCAAATACCTCATCAGCGGGAGGGGGGAGAGTCGTTCCCTGACCCTTTCTTCCTCTCCTCTGTGCCCTCTCCTCCATGTGGAAATTGGAAAAAAAATAAAGGATTTTCTTTCCAAATCTTGGTTTATAGGGACACCTGTATTAGGCAAAAGTATCCAGCGGCATCTTGGGCCCACATGGGGCCTTCCCTGTTCACAAAAATTATTCCAGCTTGTCTTATCCTCTACTGCCACAGGTGACTGCAGAAAATAATCCCCCCAGCATCTTTTTGTGTTTGATTTGGGGGTTTTTTTGCAACCTCAGAATTTTTTGTCAAGGCAAGGACATCTTCTACACCCCAGAGATAGGAGCATGAGAAGCAGCCAGAACCCACAGGGATCCCAAATCTTGCAGGAGCAGCTCCCTCAGCGGAGCAGGGCTGTGGGGAGGGAAGGATGCTCTCCCCAGGCTTGGATGCAAGTGGGCACATCTCATCTGGATCCCCTACATGGGGATGTTTAATCCCTGATGTAAGCAGGGTTCCACACTTTAGGGAAACTAGTTGAGAGTTCTGGCTGTTGAAGATATGAAGGAAAAGCCTCAGAGCTGCTGAAGTGTATTTAGAGGTGTTAAACCTCTGTCTTCACCAGCCTCTAAAATGTATTAGCCAAAATTCCTCAGCCAGAACATCTTTGCTCCTATTCCCTCAGTTTTCCTCCTTCCACGTGGTGGGCAAGAAAACACAGTCCCCGTTACTCATCCTCCACCAGGGAGAAAGCAAACACACCAAAATAAATAAGGCAGTGAATCATCCCCTCAGCCCATGCCACCACATCCCCATAAAGCCACCACGGCAGAGGGTCCCAGCAGAAGGCTCAGGTCCTGCAGGGCCTGTGCCCCAAAGCCCTCCTTGGTGGCTGCTCACCTCCCCTCTCAGTCAGAGCTGGGTGCCTGGGGGTCACAGGGAGGTGTCTCCCTGCACAGCCCCTTTCTCATGGCAGGGTTTGTCCCTGGCAGCAGGATCTGGCCCTACAGATCCTCGCAGCCATGGGAACACGGGGTTATCTCCGAGGGGCTTGTCTTCATCACAATAGGTTCTGGTGGACAAAGGAAACCCACCGAGGAGCTGGAGGCAGGACTGCTTCTCCTGTGGCTTTAACCAGGCAGGTCTGCATCAGGATCAGGCCACCCTCACCTCAACTTGCAGCATTTCCATGGAGGAAAACCTGAGGAAATGAAGAGAAACCTGCACTCAGAGAACTGCCCTTAAAACCATCTCCAAGTGCTGGGAGCTGCACACAAGGAAGGAGCTGGGGTTTGTGAGGATATTTTGGCTCTGCTTGCCCTTAAGCTGATGGGGTGTGGGGGGGGATAGGATGTGCAAAAGTTTTAAAATGGAGCAGGGAATAGTATGTGCATGGGGATGCTGATGGAGCAGGACTGGGATCTGGGCTGCCAGCACCACCCCAATGAAGGCAGGATCTATAGCCTGTCATTATTTCCATCTCCTAAAGAAGCTGCACACCCTTTATTAGTTCAGAGCCGGGCAGGAAATCATCGCCTGGATTAAGGTTAAATTCCATCTCAGAAGGGCTTAGCTGATTGCTAAATGTTTATGTCCAGTGTCCAAAAATTAAAAATTAAAAAAAAAAAAACCAAACAACAAACACCCCCATATCTCACATTAAAATACCATCCAATAATGTTGGGTGCTATGTCAGTCCTGCGAAGATCCGAGCAGTTTCATCGCTCCGATGCAAACCCTGCTGAGGCACATCAGAGCTGGGGAAACTGTGAGATTGAGGGCTGAAAGAACAGCCAGCAAAATTATGAATAGGGATTATCTGACAATGCCGACATGTTCCTTAAAGCCCTTGAGCGTCATCGCACGCTCTGAGGGTTTGTTTTTCAGCGTGGCTGCAGATAAATATATTTTATTGATACACCATCGACAGCACTCCTGCCTACTGCGAGTCAGGCTGCAGCCTCTCGTAATCTCCAGTTCATCCCCTCGTTTTGTAATCTGGAAATGTAGAAACAATATGTAAGGAGTTTGTAATGGGATTAATTTATTTTGAGGACTTGTTGGTTGGGTTTTAGGTTTTCTCCTTTTTCTCCTATAAAACGTGGGTGAGTGGAAATTGAGCAAGTCAGTAATTAGCATTCACTTTTTTCTTTTCCTTTCTTTTTATCATATGCATCTAAATTCAGTTTAGCTCTTTAAGGAATTGCCAGACTGCCCTTGATTTATAGGCAGTGCCTTCTGGATCTGAGAGGATCTAATTCAAACTAATAATACTTGAATTTGATTTCAGGATATTTGTGCTGTGCTATATATTTCATTAAGATACCATCATTCTGTGTGCGTGTGTATGCGTGTGATATGCCTCTGTGTATCCAGGTACATTTAGGCATGGAGAAGTCATGCATCCTGCAGGAAAATCGTGCTGGCGTTTAGAGAACAGTGGCAAGAAAACTTTTAACAAAGCCACGATGACTCGTGGCAGGGAACAAAAATATTGATATAAATAAAACTATTAAATGCAAATAAAAATAATAATTTAGAGATATTAAGGCAGCTCGTTCCCACCTTTGCCTGGCTGGGGATTGCAGCGGCAGCAGACGGCCAGAGCCTGCCTCTCCCTCCCCACTCCGCCTGCAGAGCCCGGGGTTGAGGAGGGGGACACCCGGAGGTGCCACTTCCAGCCCGGGAGGACATTTGGATGCTCCAACCCGGAGCCCCCCCGTGCGCTGCTGCCTCCCCCGCATCTCACAGGGTCACCCACTCCCGTGTAACCAAGAGATGACCAAAAAAAAAAAAAACCAAAAAAAAACCAAATAATCCCAGAGGCAGATCTCGGTGGCTCTGATGAGCTGCAAAGACACCCTGCGGGGGAGAGAGGGGGGTCCCTTCCTTGCTCTGCGGTGCTGGACCGCCAGGAAGGTGTTCCCTGAGCAGGACCATTCTGGAGCGCGATCCCATCGCGGCTGCTCGCCCTCCACTTCTTGCTTTAGGCTCACAGTTCAAGAGCAGTTTATCTGAGCTTAATGTAAGTAAAAGTGCAGCGTGGGATCAGCGTGCCGTTTGTTTCGGTTTTCTTCGGGAGGGGGAGAAGGAAAAAAAAATAAAATAAAATAAAGTGCTGGCATAGGCTGAACTCTTGTCAGAGCAGGGAAATTGTTTCGCAGCTCTTTCACGCAGCCCTTTGGGCAGCCCCACGTTTACCTTGGGAAAGGACCGTGCGAGTGGGCAAGAGGCGAAGTTTCTCTTTGCAGTGAGACTATTTCGAGCTCCTTCGGGAGGAAGGAGCGGCCGTGGGCTGTGCTGGGAGCTGGGCATGAGCGGCTGGAGCCTCAGCCGGGTCTGCCCCCTCTGCAGCCGAGCGCCTTCGCTCAGCATCCCCGGCTCGCCCTGCCTTTACTTACTTCGATATTACTTCTCGATTACGCGCGGTGCGAACCGGCTTTTTGATTAACAAACCGGCAGAGCGCTGGTTAAGAACACTTAAACTTCAAAAAAAAAGAAAAAACTATCCCCCTGGGAAGTGGGCTCTGAATTGGTTAATAATGTGCAGTACTTGCTAAATTGCTGACTTCCAGATGTGGAAAATATCTTTCTTGTTTAGGACCTACGTAACCTGATTGGATTACGACAGAAGCGTCACATTGGAAGGCTTTTGAGTGATGATTTAATTAACCATACAGTAGAAAGCTGTATTTGCCAGGAAACCCCTTCCATATTTGCATAACCAATCCCTTCAGTGCAAAGGTGGAGTCTGGGCTTTTTTTTTTTTTTTCTCTTCTTTTTTTTTTTTTCTATATGCAATTTTATTTTAATTTTAATACTTGAAAAAAGTGAAAAACTTGTAACCTCCCTGAAGTTCAGCCCCACGCGTTACTCGTCCACGCTGTCTCTCTCTGCTCATCCAGCTACTTCCAAGAAAAAGCAGAGCCAGGAAAAGAGCCCATCTCACCCCTGATCCATATCTGTGAACAAAACAGATAGACTGTAAGATCTCAGCACGTTTGGTTGATTTTTTTTTCATCAGATTTAGCTGACTATTCAAATAACCTGGACGAGTGCTGAAATGAAAGAGGGGGGTTGGGGGGGGGGGGGAGAGAGAGAGAAAGAAAAAAAAAAAACTTAAAAGCCCCAAAAGAAACGCGTGAAGGATAAAAATAAAACCGCACCAAAACAAGCCAGGAGCTTATTTGCAGTACCCGAACAGAGTTTAGTTTCTAGGCTTTATGTTAGGGTAAGTTTTAGTTTTCCCCAGCGGAGGCGGCGAGAGCGCGGAGCGGGGCTGGCCGCGGGGCGCTGCGGGGCAGGACGCGGGACCCGCCGGGGGGGCACGGGCAGCGATCCCGGCCCAGGATGGCAGAACCGGCAGGGATCCAGCCCGGGGGCCGGGGATCCGGCGGGATCCTGCTGGGGAGGGGGCGGGGGATGCCGCCCGGGGGATGCGCGGGGGGACCCTGGGGCAGGGATGCGCCTGGGGCCGGGGGGGCGAGCGGGGATGCGGCCCGGGGCTGGCAGAGATGCGGGCCGGGAGCGGGGGCAGGGCAGGGCTGCACGGCGGGGCAGGGGGGCCGCAGCCCCCGGGGGGGTTGGGATGCGGTGGCGGGGCGCGCTGAGTTTCCGCGGGGCGCGGAGCGGCGCGGAGCGGAGCGGCGGGGCGGGGGGCGGGCGCGGGGCGGGGGGCGGGCGGGAGGAGGTGGAATTGCATTTCTGCCGCTAAAGCGTTCGCGGAGACTTCAAGGTATAATCTATCCCAGATCCTTTCCCAGAGAGAAACTTGGCGATCACGTTTCCACATGATGCTCACGTTTGGTGCTCTCCAATTATCCCTCCCCACAAAGATAGGTGGCGTGTGTTGCAGGGTCTCTCCTCTCGCTCGTACAGAAAAGAAAAAGAAAAAAATGTCATTAGAAGAGGCGTAACACGTCAGTCCGTCCCCAGGTTTGTGTTTCCTGGAGTGGCAGAAAGAGATCAGTCCTAACCTGCCCAGCAGGAATAACGGTCCTTCCGACAACTCTTTGCAAGGCTTTTTACAATTTCTCCAGGAGCTGCATCTCCCTTCACCTTTTCTCCTCCACTTCGCGGCTTCTTCATGCTTTTTCTTCTCACCATTTCTGGCCAAAACTACAAACAAGACTTCGCAGGTAGGTTCGGAATTTAATTCCATTTTCTCTCTTTTTTTTTTTTCCTCTTCTCTTCTGTTGTTTTTTTTTTTTTTTTCCTCACACCATCTCACGCATCAGAGGGGTTATTTCATTTCGAGAGTATTTTAATTTTTCTGGATTGTTTATACTTGGGGAGAAAAAAAAAATTTTTTTAATTTTTTTTCAATCTTTTGAACCGAAACCTGAAGTCACCCCAGCACCGCTCCAGGAAGGGATGAGCAGTTTCGGGGTGCTCGGGGCTGTGCCACCACCACCCCTGCTCCCCTTACCTGTCAGCCAGGTACGGGAGCTGCCTTTTAAAACGCAGCAGCAAAAGTTTTAGTGTTAGGAAAGGACTTGGTCCTCCTGCAAGAAAAAAAAACCCCGAAACATCCCCCCACCCACCTCCTGCTCTTTTTATTTCAGGTTTTACATCCGAGCTCTGAAAGTTTGCAGGTACCTGTTAATGCTTTGCATGCCCTGAGCTTGCAGAGCCAGCCCGGCCGGGCACCGCTGGAGCCCCAGCCCCGGGCAGGGCTCCCCGGCAAAGGATGTGTTTCCCCAAACAGAAAGTTTTGCTGTTTTGTCTGCATAGTTGGTTTCATTTCTATATTTTATTTTGTGAAGCTGGCTGAAGTAACACCTTAGCTTCTGGGAGCCTAAAGCAAGAAGTGAAAGTACAGGCTGGAACTTAAAAGTCGTTTACCAAAAGGAAAAAAAAATTAAAATTAATACATATTTTTAAAAGCTTGCCGGTAGTCTGGGAGGAAAAGTGTTCTCGAAATTTGCAGGTTTAAAATTATTGACAACTTTTTTGCGGGAGGCTGGAGAGTAGGGAAGGGAGTGAAATGCATTTAAAACAATTCACCATTGGTCGTTTTGCATGAAAACGCCAATTGCCGAGGCAGGCTGAGGGTCCGGGCTCGCCTCGGTGCCTGTCCTCCCTCCCCGCTGCTCTCCTCTCCTGGCAGATCTGCCGCGGTGATGCCACCATTGCCCACCCCAGCCTCGGGAATAACTGGCGAATGCTAAAGTTTCTAGCACATTTCTCAGCCTCTTCTTTGCTCAGCCACATTCATGCACATCCACAGAGCCACCCATTCCCTCTGCCCAGGCGGAATCCCAGGCAGGAGAGTGTGAGTAAACACGCTGACCCTACGCACACTCTCTCAATCTCCCCATCCTCTTACCTGCTTGGAGATTTATTATTTTTTTATTTATAGCCAAGCAGGTTTTATAACAGCAAACGCCTGAGGAGAGAGTTCAGGCAGAATAAAAAGACCCAACAGCAGCACACTTCACTGCTCAGTCCTGGTGTGAAGCTCCAGCAAAGTAAAAAGACACAAGGGAGAGGAAAGAGGAAAAAGGGGGGGAAAAAATCTCACTCTGCTTTAAATAGATATATATATATATTGAAACTGTTGAGTCAGGTAATAATTTTTTGGGGTTTATGTAAAACTCCCAGTGCAGGAGAAGACAATAGATGCGAAGGCGAGGGGGCATCCTGCTCAGGAGAGCAAGGGTTAATTGCCCTTGTTTTACAGTTTGCATCTGTTACATCTTTTATAGCCCCCTGTTTAAACTAATCCTCAAGTCAAAGCATCTTTAAAGCTACAGCATCTTCTTCGAGATGGACTGAGTTTCAGGAGCGTTCTTGCAGCAAACCAAACGCTCCTGCCCCTCTCTCCCTTTGACAGATAGAGCCTCCTGCCCAGCCCGGGCACACAGGCACACACAGTAGGTCTAAAAGTTTACAAGTTGCTTTTATTTCTTTTTTTTTTTTTTTTCCTTAAAAACAAAAAAAAAAAAAAAACAAAACCCAACTGAAGGGCTGAAAACTCTGACAGCGGTAGTTTTGATTTCTGTTTCTTTTCTGGGAAGAAAAAAAAATATGACACTCTGAAGCTTTGTTTAACTTAGGGGCAGGGGAAACCCTGAATATTGTCAAACTGACTAAAAAGGTGACAGAGGTTTATAATTACACTCCTCGTTGTTAGGGGGAGGGGGAGGTATCCGTGCTGAGCTTTACCCCAAAAGGACAGGGGAGAGCCATGTTTCCCTCTCCTCTTATCACTTTGCTGGAGAGCACTTTGTGGGGAAAAAAAATGAAGGCAGGAGAAGGGTAGGATTTCTCGTGAAAAGAAGTTCTAGTGTCAAATTAAAGTACTTTTAGGAGGAAATGGTCCGCCTAGCATTGAGTCAAACAGCCTACTGTAAAAGCTGTGCATTCCCTCATACGGTCATGAGTTATGACTCATTTGAGATGTAATTCTTGTCTCTCTCTCTCTCTCTCTCTCTCTGATCTGCTTTGCTGGTGCAACACACACACACGCAGGGAGGGAGACACACGCACACGCGCTCACACACACACACACACACGCAGAGACACACAGAGAGAGAGAGAGAGAGAGAGAGAGAGAGAGAGGGAGCAGAAATAAATAAATAAATAAATATATAAATAAATAAAGAAGAAATCTGCCCGGCTGGGGAGAGAGGGGGAGCCCGCTCCGACCGCGTCCCACCTCCCCCGGCACGGCCAGCCTCGCCGTGTGCGTGGATGGGTTCTTTTTCGGGTGCAAACTGGGGTCCCCGTTGGCGCCCTGCGTTTAAATGGGACATCCCGATGCCCACATTGTCGCTGTGTTTGGTCGTTACATAGAGCCTGCGTGCTGCTGCTGCCGCTGCCGCTGCCGCCGCCGCTGCTGCTGAATCAGGGAGTCGAGCCCATGCGAACTGCCATCTGATCCACTCTTATCAATGAAGCAGCAGATCATGGCGGATGGCCCCAGGTGTAAGAGGCGAAAACAAGCCAACCCCCGGAGGAAAAACGGTAAGACGGCCCCCCGGGAAAACTTTTTCCGGCCGGTTCCGCCGCGGCCGTGGGGGGAAAGGCGGCGGCGGCAGGACGGGGAGCGGGACGGGGAGGGGGGCACGGCAGCCGGGGCTGGCCGCCCCCCGCCTCCCTCCCTGCGCGGCGTCCCGCGGAGCTGCGCGGCCGCGGAGCGCCGGCGGTGCGGAGAGGGGCGCGGGGGGAGCGCTGCCGCCCGCCCGCCGCCGCCGCCGCCGCCGCCGCGCCCCAAAGTTTGTTGCGCGGGCGCGGAGCGGAGCGGGCGCTGCCCCCGCGGCCCCGAGCGGCGGGGCCGCTGCCCCGGAGCGGCGGAGGAGCGGCGGGGGCGGCCCGGCTCGCCCGGCAGCGCTGCCCGGCTCGCTCCGGCGCTGTCAGTGCGGGCCGGGCCGGGGCGCGGAGCGGAGCGGAGCGGAGCGGGGCGGTGGGAGGCGCGGAGCGGCGCGGAACGAGCGGGGCGGGCGGCCCTGGGAAAAAAACCCGGCAGCGTGAGAACCCCGAGGCGGGCTGGCACCGAGTTAGCGGCGACTCTCTCTCTCTTTCTTTCTTTCTTTCTTTCTTTTTTTTTTTTTTCCCTTATTGTTAGGGACTCGAAAATGAAACTTCCTCCTCCCTGATAATTAATAATACTAATGAGCTCGGTGCCCGATTGTCCGTCGCTGCCCTCTCCCCCGGTCCCCGCCGGCCGCGCAGGGCCGGGGCGCAGTGGGACGCGGTGTTCTGGGCTGATTTCACATTTGGCAGCTTTCACTGGTGTGGTGGGTCTCTCTTTCTCCGTCTCTCCCCGTCCCTCCCTTAGTTTCTTCCTTTCTCTCCCGGCTGATAGCCGCTTCCCCGCCGCCAGCTCCCCCCTCCCCGCCCGCAGCCCCTCCGTGGCCATCCCGGCCCCACTTCCAACAACTTTCCTCTCGAGGAGCCGGAGGAAGGAAGATATTTGTGTGAACCTGAACCCATGCGCTTATAGCTCAGCTACTTCATTTAAGTGGAGAGGTGGAGGTGGAGGGGGGCTGAAGGAGGAGGGGGACGCACACAACAACAACAACAACAACAAAAAACACAAAGACAAGAGAATGTTGATTAGAAACAAATGATCCTGCCCCCCCCCCTTGCCTCTCTCTAGGTTGTGAGTGTGTGTGTGTGTGTGTGTGTGTGCGTGTGTGTGTCTTTTTCTTGTTGTGGTGGAGGCGTCGAGCCATATGGGGGAGTGATAGAGGAATTTTAGTCAGAAACTGTTCGTTATGTTACACTGGCTTTTCCCTTTGTGTTGTCTTTGATCTATTTGCTTGGCTTAGTATTACAAAAAAAAAAAAAAAAGCCAAAAAAAAAAAAAAATACCCCAACTAAAATAATATATTCCGAGCAGCTTCCCAAGGATCCGTTTCTTGTTATCTTTTTTTAAAGTCTCTCCCCCTCCACCACCACCCTTTACTCTTGTGTCTGTCATTATTTAAGGTGGTCCTCACAGAGGAGACCTCCCCTTCCCCTCATCTCTGGGTAATTTAGTAGACATTAAAATTACACGTAATGTTTCCCTCTCCTCTCTTGTGTTTCCTCTGTTCTTTTTATTAAATGTTGGTTATTGATTTTCTAAAATCAATGTCTGTTGTGGGGCTTTTTTCCCCTTACAAGTATCTAAAGCACGTTGCTGATCAACTGGATAACAAAAGCTTTGTGTCAAGTAGCCTTTTTTCTTATGTTAAACAGTCATTTTTGAGAGAAAAAGAGAATGAGATTTAAAGCAACGCATCCAGAAGTGCTCTTTTGCAGTAAAGAATATTCTGAGTGTTTGAGGGTGTTTTATTCTTCTTCCTCAGCCTCCTTGCTTTTCCAGGCAGGACTATTAGTTTAGCGTGTTAAACCCATCACATGCTCTCTGATGAGGGATGCATCTACGTGTTTAATATTTTCTCAACATGATTTGAGTACTAAAAAAAACCCCACCACCACCACCACCCTTACCCCCCCCCAAAAAAAAAAAAAAAAATCCTGGATGCCTCTGTTTGCCCAGGACACCAGGACCGTATCCTGGTAGTGCAGCCAAGTCTTTGGGAGCACGTATGGAGCGGGGTGGCAGATTCTGGTTGTTCCCATGCAAAAAGGTGTTTTCAGGGAGCTGCACTAACTTGGAAAAGCCACCACACTTGGGAGACGAAAGTTTAATTGCGATTTTTAAGGTAACCACTTAAAGATCCCGCAAACTTCAAGTGTGTGTGCGCTGCTTATGCGAAGGGCTGAGTTCTCCCTTCAGTGTCTTACTCTGGCCAAGACACGGGGTGTGTGTAGGGGGGGGGGGAAGGAAATAATTCCCTACTTTCTGTCTGTCCCCCCTTTCCTCTTTGTGCTCCCCTAATTTGTTTCTTTCATTCATTTCTGAGTGAGAAATGCCCTGGTTCTGAGGAGCAGGTAGAGCGAGGGTGGGTTTGGTTTGTTCGTTGGTTTTTTGTTTTTTTTTTTTTCATTTTCTCTTTCTCGACAAGCACGTATCCAATGCCTTTCCCGTTGGGAATTGCCTAGGATTTATCTGGACTGAGTGGATTTTTCTTCTTTCCTGGAATCGTGGAAAAGATGTTACTTCTGAGCTTGTGTCTTTGCTGATAACACCAGGAACGGTGATGCTTATCGAACTCGGACAGAAATTCCTTAGAAACGCAGCAGAACCAAAATAAAATTTAAAAGCCACGAAAAAGGAAATAAAAATAGATGGTCATGAAGGAAGCGAGAGGAGTGTTAGTGAATCCCAGACACATTACAGACGGGGGGACAAAACAGAATAATCCAACTAATGCCTCAGTGGGCTCCACGCCTGTGTGCGTGTATCTGCGTGTGTGCGGGGATGGGCAAGGCTCGGGATGAGATACCGGCGCTGGATAAAATTACAGCGGAGCTAAATAGGGTAGAAAGGAAGCAGGCTCGGGATTTTCCAAGATAACGGGGTTGATGAGAGCTGCTGGAGTGCAGGAGAGGTGTGCGGGGGGGAGGCGGGCTGAGAGAGGCGATGTGGAAATCAATGAGGGGTGAGCCCCCCGGGGAGGAGGGGGGAAGGATGGCAAGGAGAGGACCCCGAAAGCGGGGCGGGGGGGCGGGAGGTGCGGGAGCGGCAGCCCAGGAATGCGGCGGAGCTCCGGGAAGTTCAGTCAGATGATTCCCAGCGCCTGACTCACTTCGCGGCACTTTCACTCGGGAGAGAAGTGGCGGCAGAAGAGGAGGAGGAGGAGGAGGAGGAAGAGGAGGAGGAGGAGAGGGCAGTGAGCCCCCTTTCCGCACGGGCGCCCCGCGGAGGCGGGGGCTGCTCCGGCGGCCGCAGCGCCGGTGCGGAGCGGCGCGGAGCGGTGCGGAGCAGCGGGGCCCGGCAGCAGCGCTGTCTGTCCGGCCGGCAGCCCTGTCTGTCCGGCCGGCAGCCCTGCCCTGCCATGCCCGATGAGCTGCCTTCTCTCCGTGCTGTTGTGGTTTGGCGTTTGTTGGCCGAGGTTTTTTTTTCCCCCCCTCCCTCCTTTCCGCTCCCCTCCTCGAAAATCCAAAGTGAAATTAAAATCCCCGCGAAGGGGGGGAGGGGGGAAAGTTGTATCTAATTTACCCCAAAGTTTCAGTAAACAGCTCTCTTTGATTCCTTTGCCACCTCGCTTCCAGTTGTAAAGAAAAGGGAGAAAGTTCAATGCTTTCAGGGCGTCTGATCCAAGACCACAGACCAAACAAGCAGAGACGATTAGGCTTGCTCAGAGCCTTTCCCAAAAAGATACCCACCCACCCTCCTTCCAGGGATGCTGGGGAAGGGGGAAAAACCTCCTTCACTCCTCACTTGCAAAAGAGGGGAGAGAGAAAGAAAAAAAAAAAAAAAAAAAGGGAAAAAATAGGCAAGCCTGCCTGCTGCCTTTAGTGAGTGGGAAGAAGTGAGTCTTGTCTTCCCTGCCTGGAGAAGTTTGGAGGCAGCCAGACTGAGGCTGGGGTGTGAGGAGGCAGCTGTTCCCTGTGCAGCCCAGGTGGCAGCGGGCAGAGCGGGCACCCGGAGCGCTCCCGGGGCCGGGCAGATCCCCAGGGCCGGGAATCCGTTGCGAGGAGATTTCTCCGGGATTTGGCTCGCTGGGCAGCGAGACAAATGCACTGCTAGCACCTCCAGAAAAGCACCTGGAGATAGGTATTAAAAATTAATGCCAGAAAGGCGAGTGGCCAGGGCGTAATGATTACCCAGCCGCATTTTCTCGGTGCAGATTCATGTCCAGGCTGAGCTGTGGCATGGAGCAGGGGAGGTTGTTGTCTGTCAGGTCGGATCTATTTATTTTCTTCCGAGTTTCGAGAAACCCAGAGAATTTGGAGATTAGTGCCTGATTTACTGTTTGCCATTTGTGACCATTCGGTAATTACTGGTTTTGCTTATTGCACATGCTTCGCAAGGAAAGTTTTGGGGGAATTTCTAATTGCTGCAAGAAAATGCATTTGATGGCTTGGAAAAGGCGTATTTGAAAAGGGAAGAAAAAGTGATAAGGAAACCATTACAAGTTAATTATCGATAATTGTACATAGCCAACTGCCCAAGGTAGGGGAAATATATGGGAGACTGAGATGCAAGCTCTCAGGACAGGCTGGTAATATTCCCCAAGAAAAAAATGTGTGTCTCCCTTTAGAGTGGAAAGAAGGGTGTTGATTCTTTTACAGCAGCCCCACATTCATTCCAAGAAATAGGAAATTCCTCGCCTCACAACAGTTTTTGGCATCTGCATTATCCCAGTGCTTTTAAGGTGCATTTTCTCCTCTGTGAAAGAGAACTCTTTGTCCTTTTTTTCTGCAAGACCATGGCTTCCCAAGGTAGACACTATTTTGTGCCTGTCACATAGAAAGGGAGTGCAGGTTTGCAGTGCTCACAGACAATTGATTGTCTGCCCTAATGTGTTTCATTTACATGTTTATAACGTCAATAGTGCTGGGGTGTCCACTGTACCATTCATTCCAGCATTCCCACAAGGGTGCAATTGTCTGAATGGCCAAGTCAGACACCTTTTTGATTGCTCTTTAGTTGTCTTTTTAGAGTATAGAGAAAAAGGAGAGAAATCTGTGATGCAGAAACACTAGTTGAAAATATTTCAGAATTAAACGTCACCATTAAAGCAGATGTGAGCATTAGACAAACAATATATTTTAACTAAGGTTCTGAAGGTGGAAACAAATTCAGAATAGTGGAGCTGGTTAGTGCACACGACACCCAGTCCTGTTCCTTAATTTTTTGGGGCTTTTCAAAAATGATCTGTCGTTTTCATTTTCATTTCAGCCCCTGTAAATGCAGCCACCTCCTAACTCTTTGTATGCTTAGCTGTAATTTGCTATATTTCCCCTCCATATTTACATATCTCTGTTTATGCCAACAGCGTCAGCTAACCACTGGGAAAGTCTATTGAGAGAATAACTAGGCTGGGAGAAGTGTAGACTTAAAAAAAATCGTGAGATCCAAATATTTCTTCATCAAGTGGGGTTTTTTTTGGTGAATAAAACGACAATGCTTAGACTTTTCCTTGCAGCAGTTTAACTTACAGAGCTGTGCCCCAACTCCTCACGCCTCCGATCACCACCATCCTCTTGCGCTGCGAGCTTGCAGCAAAGTGTTTCGAGGAGTTTCCAAGTCAGTGAAAGATCACTTTGGAAGGTGTGCTGTGCTGGTTTGATATGCCACCCTGCCCTTTATCACCCGGAGTGGCTTCTGAGGGAGGCAAGGACCGTGGTTGGGGGCAGAACAAATGAGGCACGCAGCTCGCTGG